ATGACAGTGGATATTCTAGATCACCTTTGAGCATCCATTCATCAGGAACCAGACATGATAAAAGCGTCAAGGGTCAGTTGGTGTGATACTGTTTTTATGGGACCTCTGTGCCAAAAATCATAAGAAAGACCTGCTTCTTTTCTATTCTGATTTGATAAAGTAGACATTTCTTGGGTTTATGTTGGGGGCTTTTCAGGCAGGTAAAGCTAATGCCCCAGTATTGGTTTATAGTGGAAGATGAGTCAGGAGAGGTGCACATTTATCATCTTGCCATTGCATGGTAGCAGTACCACAGAAGTTCTGGCAGATCTTTTTAACACTGTCCATGCTACTGGTTTTTTGCATCATCCTCTTGCTTGGTACTAGCATACCTGAAGGTGTTCTATAGCTATGATTCTTACCTCTGTTACCTTGCAGCTTTTCCAAGTTAAATTTGGCATTGAGACAATGGTGCTGAGTTGTGTATCTTTCAACACAGGAACATTCTACTCAGCTCTGACTCTTTAGCACCAGGAACTGTGATGGCTTTTCTCTCTCAACATCTTGTCAAGGGCAAGAACCTTTTTGCAAGGCAAACGAAACAAGGGATGGTAGCAGCAGCAATCACCCTTCTTATTTTATGGGACAGTCCTGGAAGACGAGTTTGAAACCCACTGGTCACTTAGGCATGTAGTTGCAGTTTTCATAACCCAGTGTTAGGTAAAACTAGTGTGTGTACACATGCTGAATTTTTGGAAACAAGCTTCATCCTCAGTTTTCCTTTCAGATGCTTCCCTCATTCACAGATGTTTACTTTAGAGAGCATTTCTGCAATGGCTTGTCAGATTACTGGTCTGGTATATCATAATGAGGAGTGTCCCTTTCAGTATTTCCTGTCACTGAAGAAAAATATTTTCTGTAGTCTGGTCAAACTTTGTCTGCTACCACTGTTTTTGGTGTCACTGCCTGGTTATCAAGCTATTTTGGAACTCACTAACTGTAAGAGACAAGGTTTTCCAAATATTCTACTACCTGAAAAACAGAACTTCCTATGTATGGGTCTAACTCTCTATCTTTCTTGATAATGACTGTTACATTGGAAGAAGCTATGTCCTCCTTAAGACTTGAATGGTCTACAGAAGCAATGATCTCCAGAAGTCCTGTCTAACTTAAATGAGTTCTTTTATTCAGCATATTCACAGTCAGTGTCATGAGTTCCTGTAGGAAGAAAAACTTGTTCCTGTTCTCACTGTAATGTAATAACATCTATCATTGAGGTGATCTATGATACATGTAGGATTTCAGTTGCTGTGTTCCTTTGCTCTAATATGACCTTTCTACTTAAGAGGCAGAATGTTGGAGATGACAAGTAGTCACATAAAGTGGGATTCCTCATCCAATTGTAAAAGTCTAGGCATCTTACAGTCAGTGAGGGAGGAAAGGGCATCTGTGGTATACAACTTAATCCCCATCTAAGGCTGGTGAGTCATGCCATAGAAATGACTGTTTCCTCCAGTTGGCTATGAAGAGATGTGGTGGATGTGCAAAGTCAGCATATATGTCAGAACAGCTTCTAAATTTGGGCAGATAAATCCCATTTGTAACGGTTCATTGTGTTCGTTAGCACCACTACATGGTTAATAAGAACAAAAGTGCTTTGTTTAAATAATGTTTGTACATGGTGTTGAATAGCAGCAATCTGCTGAGATCTGGCTGACAAACAATGGTTTTGTGAAGGTCAGGCCAGTCCAACACTGAAGATCAGAGAAAGAGCAACGCTGTTGGAGGCCCAAAGATGGGACATGGTAGAGATCTTCAAAGGCTACAAACTATATATAATCTAAAAGGAAGGTACTTGTGGGTATTTTCTGTATGAACATCACTGAAACATTTAAATGTCGTGGATGGAAGCCCGGCTCCACACCCCAGTGCTTTGGCTGGCCACCAAGTAGTACTTTGGGCAACTGAAATTGGTAAACCACAGAAGCTAAAGTGTGAGTGGATGAGTGTATGTGCTTGCAAGCAGTTTTAGCAAATAAGAATTAAGTTGGGTTTTTTGCTTTGTAATTACCTTACTCAAATAAGGGACAAGCATTAAGAACTGATGGCACTGTTATTTTATTTGAAAAGTAACTATAACCCTTTCTACTATAAAACTGAAGAAAACAATAGGAATGTCACACTGGTCTAGGAAGATGGCCCAGAGAGATGAGTTTTAAGTGTTTCTTCACTAAATTTTGGTGATTTATTACATCAAATGTTTAATATCCTAATACCCAAGCTGAACTCATTGTCTTTTATGAAGGATGTAAGTCTGAACCATCTCAGTAGCTGTATCTGTTCAGCAGCCCTCGGTTCTTCCAAAATCTAGACAAGATGGCATCTAACTGGAGGTTCTTGGAGACAAATAACTTGCAACTAGATCAAACAGAATCAGGGCAAGAACTGATCATTTAAGGAAACTTCCTTCTGGATTGTCTGCAAACTCAGCTTCTTGCCTAGTATATATTTGGAACTCTTTTTCTTGAAGTACAGTTTCTGAATCCAAAATACCTCACTTTTACCATCTCATCCACTATTGTGCTAGGTGGTGTTTGCTGCTACTGTGTCTGAGAAGTAGTACCAAGAATTTGGAGGTTGCCTGAAGTCCTATAGTTGGTTCCTCACATCTTTTCTGCTGTGGATATGCTTTTCCAGGTCATCAGTTACAGAGTTTGTAAACTTGCTTCAGTTTGTTGCATGATTGCTACTGGAAGAAAGCTGTTTTCCCTTTGGCTCTAATAGATTAGCTGTTACCTTCCTGATTTGATACAGCTTGAACATTTTTCTGTGGAAGACTTGAGACATAAGTTGACAGTGACTGTTAAGTGGTGTGGTAGCTGCTATTATGGAAAGATAGCAAAGCTGAAGGCTCTCAGTTTTGGGCAGTTTAAGTGTACTTTCCTCTCTTGATAAAGAGTAGTTAGATCTTATTTTGCCTGAAGGTGGAGTTAGTCTGTGTGAACTCACTTCTGTCTTACCTGCTCCCCAAATAACTCACTGCTGTTAGGTTTTGCTGTGTTAACTGTTAAGTGTGATCCTGTTATGTGGGACACTTCATGTGTCTGCCTGGAGAGTCTTTGTGGTTTCAGTCATATTTATGAGTTAGTATGCTCCTGTGGTGGATTTGGTAATGTTTGTTTTACCCGACTCCATGTGTCAGTGAGGTGGCTGAATACCTCTAGGACCTTTCTATTTAACTATTAATCTATTTAATTTGCTAGATTAACTATTTAACTATTAATCTATTTAATTTGCTAGATTAAATACTACATGGTGTGTATTTTAGCGTCTTATCTGTGGTCCTGGGTATTTTTTTCCCTATATGGGTTCTACAGTTTTAATGCAGTTTAAGGGTGATGGTTGTTAAGCAGATCATCATTTCTGTTCGCTGATGATATGGCAGAAGCATCTGTAAAGTCAGGAGGCAGCTCTGAAAACCGTTATCTGCTGAGGTCAGGAGGTTAGATTTGCTTCTTGTGGTCAGAGAGAAAGCAGTTGGGCTGCATAGATGTAGCAAGAAATACGGATTGCTTTCAGAAGTCTAATCTTAAAGATTGTCATTCATGTACAGTAAGATAACACTATGTATTTGAAACAATCATTGGAAATTACAGGTGTAGGCAGAGGTGATGTGTTCTGGTCCAGAGTAGAAGTCTTACTAACTTTTAGAAATTGAAACTGCTACATTATAACAGTAAGTATAAGTGGAGATTCTGTCAAACATCGTTTGACATTAGCTATCATAAGGATGGCTTTGCAAACTTTTCCAAGAAGGTTGCAGCTAACAATGTCAGGTTTGCTTTTTTTTTTCCCCACCTACGTTTTGCCCCTACTATTTTGAATGCCGATTCTGTTGACTGTAAAACCCTTTTATTCCTGAATTTGTTGTGCAGAGGAGCTCCTTGGCACACAATTCAAAGTTGACACATAAGAGGCTTCTGTGTGATCATGGTCTGTTCAGATTGCAATTGTCAAGCAATTACAATTTCTATGTCTGTATTATTTGGACTGAGGACCAATTTCATGGATGTAGAGATATAGGTTGGCTATGTCCTAGTTTTGTGCCAGGTCAAGACCTGGACAAGAGCCATCACTTTTGTATTGTGTTTTCTATGTGAAGACCATTTAGGGGTTTGAGCAGGACAGGAACAATAATATGCTCAAGCATCACCAAGAGATCAGGATTTTGAGGTGCACTAGAGCCTGACTGCTTTACACTTCAGAGAACTAGGGTTCACAGGGAAGTTTTTCTTTTCTTTTGAGAATGACACTATAACCCTGTAACCTCTGTTTCAGAAATTGTGGAGGGTTAATTAAGTAAAACAAATGAAGGGTTTTATCTACATTTCTTTAGCAGCAAAACAGGCTAACTAGTCCTTTTAAGTCATAGCTTGGTCATATTTAAAATAATCAAAACAATCAATGTTAATTTATATAAATCATGCGTCTGAAAGCTGGAGAGAAAATGAGGCTTACTGTTTTAGGTTTCTGTTTGTTTTTTTTTATACAACTCTTTCTACAGTGAACACTAACTAGCATATAGCAAAATCTTCAAATGTTAAGTTGTATCCATGAACTGGACATTATGATAGTTTTGTTCATTACAGATTTATTCAATGTCATGATGGGGGGTTGTGTGGTATAACTTTCATGGGTAATATTACACAGGAATAAATTTGAAGTTAGTGAGCATACCTTTTCAGCTGTATCAGCTTCTTTAATCAAAGGTGTTCGCATAGAATATTCACATAACAAAACAAAACCAGATCTAGTTTTGCTAAGCTTTTTTTCTGAGCTTTTTAACCACTTAAGAAGCAAAAGTCCTAAGGTTTTTGTTGTGTGTGTTTTTTTTGTTCTGTTTTGAATATCAGCTACCTGTTTATACTGCATTTTTCCTAGTAACTGGGAAACCCTTCTGTTGGTGTCTGGTATGCTGAATTAAGAGACAGGATTTGTTTAGTTGCTCATTCTTTTTGCAGGTAAAGAAAGCCTTTTTTGCTTTGGTGGCAAATGGTGTGAGAGCAGCTCCACTGTGGGAGAGTAAAAAACAGAGTTTTGTAGGTAAGTAGTTCTAATGTTATTCAGGATTACTTGAATTTCCAGGGTGCTTTGCTGTTGCAGAAGATGGTCTGGAGCTAGCCATCATCTAACAGCCTAGAGATACACTAGTAATGAGGGTTTCTTTTTCCTCCTTGTGAGGAGTGAGATATTGCCAGTTTTTATAGTGTTGCTGTGCTTTGAGAATCATGATGATCCTTTTAGGTCCTAACCTTCTGAAATTTGGTCTTTAATGTATGTATTTTACTGTGTATTTAAAGATGTAATGGTCACAAAAAGGAAATTTGAAAATAGGAACTACAAAAAGAATTTAATGTTGCAGTGTTCTAAAATACATGCAATACAAGCATCCTTCTCTGCATGTTCTGTGAGGTGCACTGAGAAATCTTTAAATACCAGAAATAATGTTGAATGATACAGATATGTTCCATATTGTGAGAAAAAACATTAGATATATGTATTGCTTTTAAAAAAAATATGTAATTAATTTCCACAACAATAATCTTCCAAAATTAGATCTCTGTTGCAGTTAGAAGACAGAGACATAATGGCAGTTATAAATACTATTATATGCATTTCTTGTGACCTGGAATGTAGATTGAGGATTCTTAGAAATCAATGGTAGACATCTTATAAAGCATTTGTTAAAATATTTTAAATCCAAGGGCGGAGGAGCAGTGTTCTCATGCAATACATCATAGGAATGCTATGTGTCTTTTATATTTCATTTCATTTTCTGTCGGTAACTAAGTTCTGGTGATGTAAAGCTGACCTGGATTAATTTTTCCCTTCCCCTTTTCTTAGTTTCTTGGGTTTAGATGTAAGAGTAGTAAACAGTGGAGCAATTACATCTTCTTAAATTTAGAACTTGAAAGCTCAAAAAAAATTAATGTTTTCAGGTAAACTAATCATCAATATTATATCACAACATTTGGTGTTGGTTAAAATGTAGACGTACTATCTCTTCTAAAAAAAAAAAGTCACATTTCAATACATATGTTGAGGATTACTATGGCAATGATTGAATCGAGTTCTTCAATAAGTAATATTCAAGAAAATGGATTATACTCTTCCTTTATTTGAGTCCAAGAGTCTGCCTGGCTTGGCAAGTACATAACAATAATGTGTCTTATTCAAAAAGCAAATGAAAGGCAAGGCTAGATATCAAACCTTTAAAGATATTTTAAACCCCCTCTTTTCTTTCAGTGCTTTTGGGGGTGGATGCAGTCTGGATTCAAGGTTTTTTTTGAGTTAGGTTGAAAGAAGAGAAGCACATAGGTTATCATTTTGAATATTATCAGATATATGTTTTTATTCTGAAGTATAGTATCAGTGTGAAAGTGAATATGCATATTTTTGGAATTCCACTGTTGATTAGTCCAGCATGACTAGTATGTTACATGAAGTTAATGTTTATTAAATTCTATATTGTGAATATAAACAGGGAAAATAGCTAGAAGTTCTGTATGTTAAGTATATATCTGAAGAACTTTTTTTATGTATCACTTGTTCCAGGAATGTTAACAATTACAGATTTCATTAACATACTGCATAGATACTATAAGTCTCCAATGGTAAGTATGATGTTAAGCTATACTTTTATCATTTGCTATACAGTATAGACTGAAATATCAAACTGAAAGATTGATAATGATTGCTATTATTAAAGTCTTGGGAAGCTTAGATATGTCATGGGTATACTCACTGTGAGGGTTTGGGGGTTTTCATACGTGTATAAATGTGAAGAATTTCCGTAATGTGTACTACTATTTATGTTTTGTGTGGTGCTTACCATAATGATAGCCTTTAATTTGGACCACTTAGTGTTGATACTAATGAATAATGCATTTAGGATGAAGAATCTGGTTTAACATACTTACTAAAAATTGTGATATAAAAAGGATGAAGGAAAATACATGATTATTGATTGCTGTATTTATTTGTGTTCAGGTTATTTCAAAGCACATATTTCAATAGGAATCAGAGCTCTAGATAAATGGCAAATAATCTTCCCAGAAGCATTTGGGGCAGGTGTCTTGAAGTTACATGAAAAAGTTCATTGTATTTAAAAATCAGATATGTTGCTATGCATTGTTCACATGTTTATAGAATCATCTTTGTCTCATAACTGTGGTACAGCTATTCTGAAAGAGTGTGCAGAGTTAAGCAGAACGCTAGCGTACAGGGGCTTGGATGCATTAACAGGTTATTCTCTTCTTGGAGTGATGGTGTAGAATAAACAAATTAAACTAGTTAAATAAATGCAAATACTTTAGTTACATGACTGAGTTGCACAGTCAGTTGAAGATCTGTTGACTTCAGTTAAGTGTAATTTAAAATTCCCACTGCCAGTCAGTTGCTGAAATTCTCTAGCTTTCACGTTCGTACATACATTTACATCCTTTTCTTGTTCCTGTCAAATCACAATTCCCCCTCTACCAATTAAAACATATGTACTGTGTCTTACTAGCTAAAAATCAAGAACAGTTGGATGAAGCAGATCTGATGTATTAGGCTTCTCAAAGGTCATGTTAATTTTTAAAATTTATAGTGAAATTCTTGTGAGATGCCAATAGTGTGGTGCACTGTCGTTGTTAAAGAAATTTTTTTCCCCCTTGAGACTTACAAGGGTAGGGAAAGAAGCAAATGAAAAGTGATTGTACACTGATGACTTCCTTCAATGGTTTCCATATTGTAATGATGCTCAATCTCAATACTACCAGTTTTTCCATGTAACTTTACCTAAGGTCTGACTGTTGTCACTCCTGTTTACATTGTCTAACATCTGATTCCATAGGTTGTGATTAAAGTGGCAGCAGTAAGGAGGAATAGCTGAGAAGTTACAACATTTGACTTAAGCGATTGTTTCAGTCTTAAAAAAAAAAAAAAAAAAAAAGTAATGTTCCATGGGGGAATGAGCTAGTCTTAATAGGTAAAATTATGCTGAAAATAAAAATCTTTAAGTATTTTAGTCATACTTTCTGAATGCATCACAATGCAGTGTGAAGCATGTTGCTGTTCATATACTAGATAATATTTTCAAATTATTAATAAAGAACATCCAGGTAGTTCTTCCCTACAGTATGGTCAGGAACAAGGTTTAGCCTCATCAGCATCTAAAGCAGTCTCCTGTTCTTCTGATCGCTTCACTAGATCTTCTGAACCTCATTTCACTGTCTTAACTGCCTTTTTTGTGAAGTGCCCTAAAAGATTAACTTGCTTATGTACGTATCTTTTATGTCAGCCAGTAGTCCAATTACAGTATATCAATTTAACATTCCCTTATACTCTTCAAAGGGTGCTAATTCCGGAGAAAAATCTAAGTGTAGCCTCCGTTTAGCTCAAAGATTAATGTAGTAGGCTTTGTGGATACTTCTACCCTTCACCTGTAAACTCTTCAGTTTCAGCAGTCTTTGCAGAAGCACCTGACAGAAGAGCTATGTGATGATGAACACCTAGGCTATAGAGAGTGCTGTTACTATTGCAAGTGACTGGCTTGCAACTTGATACCTTTAGAGAAAGGTAGCTTTTGCATCTGAAAAATTTTCAGAAAACCATCAGCAAGATGGAATACTGTAAAGAGTTATGCAATCTTTTGACAAAGAACTTTGAAATAGCTGCTGAACAGCAGGAAGTTGGTGATGTGACTGTGTCTCTTTTTGCTTTTGGTTTTAGTATGTTTTAAACTTCAAAGACTGGACTCTTGAGTGGTTGGATGTCATAGCTGATCTGATAAGCTGCCACTCCCTTTGTCCTGTATCACTTGCCAGTCATTTTTGCGAGCCAGTTAAGGAAGCTTAACCAGCAGAAAACTGACAATGTTTTATAACTCTTTTTGCTTGTTTGGTTCCTGGGACCAGATGAACCCAGGCCAGGTGCAACATTGCTGGCACAGGAGAAATGCTGAGAGCATCCATGGCTTAGATTCAGTATCTGAAAACTTTTAAAGAATGTAACATCAGTAAAATATTAAACTTGAGGGGGGTGGGAATACAATGTTGGTTCTTCTGACTGAAGTGAGCACTAAACCAAGTGTTTTTGCTTGTTTGTAATCAAGTAACAGTAAAATTAATCTCTGTTAGCATTAATAAGTCATCAGGGTAAGCGTTTGGGTGTGTGAGGAATCATCAGAGGGTTTACTCTGTCATGACTGTTTTAAGGTGAGATGAATTACTGAGGAGATGCCTTTGAGTATTGACTACGAACCTGGGCAGGTGGAAGATCTTTCCTGTCCCCTGAAATGATAGGCCCAGTATGGTACTCTGCATTGAGCAGGATTGCACCCTTTCTTCTTCTTATTGTCAAGAAATGTTATTCTGGGCTGTTCTTACTCTTGTTAGATTGCCTGCAGTGAAATGTAAGAAAACTATTCAGATATTTATGTTCTTAATTATGTTGGGTTTAAAATTAATACTTCAAGCTGACCTTTTCATCTACCCGTTTTAGGTTCAGATTTATGAACTGGAGGAGCACAAGATAGAAACCTGGAGGGGTAAGAATACTTACTACTTGGTTAATAATTTAGTATGTTGTAATGTTTTTCAGTATAGTGGATATTTAATTAATCATAGACTGAGCTTGTCTCTCTTCACATACCATTTAATGAAAACAGAAATATTAAGAGCTTATCCATTGACTCTTCCTGCTTATTTTTGTATCTGAAACAGAATAGGGACTAGAGTGATCTGGGCTATATACTTCGCCACTTGTTCATGATTAGTACCATCTCGCACTTTAAGAAATTAAAAAAGAAACTGGAGTATGGTAGAATGTGTGGCTGTAGAGTTAAGTATATGTGGAATGGGAATGTATCTGAGTCAGGGTACAGAGTGACTAGATGACCTTACATACTGAGTGAACTGATAGATGAGCAGCAAGCTATGACTGGGTGAATTGCATGATGCAACAAGAAGTTTGTACAACATTCTGGATATGAACAGAAGTGCTAAATGTGGGGAGGAAGCTTTGAAATAATATGAAGTACCCCATGCAGCACACCCTCCCAGGAAAGGAACTGGTAAAGAATTATTCGCTGTTGATGCAGTGACCTCTGGTGGTAATCAGTTCAGTACTGCTTTACACAGGTACTGTTTTAAGAGACGTGCGTAAGTGGTAGAATAACTAAAGTGACTGTTATATATTGCTGTCTGACTTCCACATAGTTTTATACAAATGAATTCATAAAAAGCCTTCATAACAAGATCTAATTTCATATAAAGTGGTAATGATCTATTTCTTTTCTCTACACAGAGCTTTATTTACAAGAAACATTTAAACCTTTGGTGAACATCTCCCCAGATGCAAGGTAGGATTTTGCTTTTCAGTCTGTTTAACTTGAAATAAACTAACTCCTTCTCAACACTGAATTTAAGTTTTCTTTATAAAATGAGAAACAATATTGTAAACTAGAGTACAATAATGAAGGACTGTGTTTTAATATAATCAAGAAGGTGTGGGAGCTTTTTTTTATTGTGAGTGATATTCAAAGAAGAGAATTTTTAGGTAAAGATCTATGTTTTATTAGTGTAACTGTTCTGGTAAATAAACTAGATATGGATCAAAATTAATTGCCCCAAAACATACAAAAAAGGCAACCTGATGACCCTTCAAGCTAGAGCCTCCAACTCATTTTTGGTTCATGAAAATCAGACTCTACAGAGCCTTTCAGCTGTCTTCTCAGCAATCACAGTTACTGAAAACTTACAGTACTTTTCAACACAAGTAATTTTCCTTAACTAAAGGAAAGACAATATGTGTCTTTTGTTCTGCTCTACTACTACTAGGTCTGTGTTCCTTAAAATATAAATGACTGCCTTTCTTGGTGGAATTTGAAAGAAATAGTTTTTAAACTGCCATTATACCTTATTTATGAAAGGTAACTTGAAAGAGGGCTTTAGTTGGTCACCTAACAACTTGAGTACTACTCAGCTGCTGAACAAGAGAACGTGAAGTTCTGATCCTTGCTTTCAGTTTGTGGAATGGGATTGCTTATGTCCTGTCAAAGGAAACTGGTGAAGGGGACTCCAGTGATTACCTGAAAGTAATGATATGCTGTATCCTTGTTAGAATTGCCATTAAGTAGTGAATAAGTCATAAAGAATGTATTTTGAATGGTAGGTGGCTGAAAGAATATTGTTAAGACAACAAAACAGTATAATTGGTTTTAGTCCAAGGTACAGCAAGAGAAGTATTGCAATAAAGAAGATGCACTAGGACATGTATAAAAGGATGCAGCAAGACAACTTAAGAGCTGATCCAGAAAAGCACTTGGGTTCTGTGACAATCATACTGCAACACTTAGGAGTAGTTAAATGCTTATTCCAGGAGTGGAATCTACAGTGCAATGATGGGAATCTTGACTCCATGTATGTCGAATGGGATAGTTCATCCCTGTAATGGACTCAAAACGTATACTTCGTTGTGTATGGGAAGAAGCCTAGTAGGTATTTATCAAAGTTTTACTAACTATTACTTATTAACTTACGGCAATTGGTGGTCAGCTGTTTTATCCTAGTCCTACTAGGATCAAGGGGAAAAAAAGCGTTACTTGCAAGAAGGGCAGACTTGCACAGGTTGGAATATTGCTAAATTGTAGTCTGCAGTGTCTGGAGGAGTGTTTCCTATCTCCTGAGAATTAACTTTTTGCCCCAATTATAGTTTAGTTAAATTATTAGATAATTGTTTTGGTTTAATTGCATATATACACTTAGCTGTAAAAATGCTTTTCCTAGAAAATTTTATAGAATTTTGGGATTGAGATGCATTATGCACAAGAACACTCTGTCTCTGAACACAAACATCCATTCTGAGTTGCAGGGATACTGTGAGCACACCACTCACTGGAAGAACAATCTACACTTGTGAAGAAATTTTTTTGCTGTACTTTCTACCACAAAGTCACTTTGCATCAAATTTTCTTACTGGTTTTATGTTAATGAGCGCATATTGTTGTTGATGTGTTTTACCAGCTGCATCAGTTAATTTAAAATCTCTTAACTTCTGTTTTCTATAACAGCAAAGATAATTCAAATAATTACTCATATGTACTTCAGAGGGGTTTTTAAATATGTGTATATATCACTTGAATTCTAGCTGTCAATGAGTAATGTCATTAAAATATGTTTTTTGTCCTCAGCCTTTTTGATGCTGTATATTCATTGATCAAAAACAAAATCCACAGATTGCCAGTTATAGATCCAGTCAGTGGAAATGCACTTTATATACTTACCCATAAAAGAATCCTCAAGTTCCTCCAGCTTTTTGTAAGTATTTAAAATTATTCTTGGCTTAACTTATTTTAGCCCCTTCCCCCCCAGTAGATATCTTTAAGTCTGAGTACAGAAACTTCCTGATAAACTTCATATTCATTGTGTCTGTGCTTATCTTTTTTTGATACCATTAAAACTTGATATAGGGCCTGTACATTCTCTTTACTTTTAGTCATTTAAAGAAACCTAAACATCAGGGACTTGTCTTAGCTACTTGAGTAATTTGCTGTCCTTTCTGGATGATGTACTCCAGCTTCAGAAGCTTGTTTACATGAAAAGAAAAATGAATTGTCTCCCAGAGATGAGATTAACATTACTCACTGTAGCTTATGTTAGTCACAGGAATGGATTTGAGGCCAAGCAAGGCAACAAGACTTCAAAATAAGATTACAGAGTATAGTATGATTTGCTGTATTCTCCCCACAGTTTCAGTGGGATATAGCTTATGATCGAAAGCTTTTAGTGATGGTTTACCACAAATATAAATAATGTGCAAAAACCTTAGTTATATGGTCTTAATTTAGAGCTTCTTTGAACAGAAGTAATGCTTCTAGATCTGGGAACTTATTTTGACTTTACGTTAATCTAGTTGCAGATTTACTTTAATGATCTGTAGCAATCATTTGGAGTCTGTAGATGGATGAGTGAATACAGATTTCCTAGTATAGATACCAATCATATGACAACACAGTAGGTGCAGAAAACTGCAGTGTTTAAATACATTCATTCTAACTTTTTTAGATGTCAGAGATGCCAAAGCCTGCCTTTATGAAGAAGAATCTGGATGAACTTGGAATAGGAACTTACCACAACATTGCCTTCATACATCCAGACACTCCTATCATTAAAGCCTTGAATATATTTGTAGAGAGAAGGATATCAGCATTACCTGTTGTGGATGAGTCAGGTGTGTGTTGGGTCTTCTGTATACAAAAGTGTGGTAAGATAAATGGTGCTGAACTCTGGATTAACCTTGGGGTGAGGGGGATGACAAAGAATAAAATAAATTTTAAAAAATAATGCAGGGGGATAAATGGAATATAAAGAAATATGCAAGAAGTAGGTTGATAGGCTTGGAAGAACTTCATCGTTTGGTAGGTTGGTTGGGTTTTTTCCATCTTTTCTTCTTGACCTGTCTGTTTCTTTGTGTGTAATTATAAGATAATAAATGAAAGCAGGAAGCAAGAAAACTTAATTTTGTATTTTAAGCAGTTTATTAACTTTTGTTTTTCTTTTTAGGAAAAGTTGTAGATATTTATTCCAAATTTGATGTAATAGTAAGTATATATCTTAAATTCTGTTAAATATTTTATATGCCATAAGCATTTGCACATTAATTGAATACATCAATTTTGGCTGTTCTGTTCTTTAGGCTTTAGATAACAAAGTGAATAAAAGATTCCATTCACCCTGCACAGCATTTTAAAATTATTTTTTATTTAAGCTGTCTTTAGTAATACTACTTGCACACAGGCATCTACTGCTCTGGATGTTACCCAAAATTAGATCTGGCTCTATTCTTACAAAAAGAGCACAGGCCTTTTATGTTTGTTTCTATTTTTGAGGTAAGATTTTTCTCTTCCCATCTCTGCCATTCCATGATCTGTTTTCAAAAAGAATGCAGATATCTCCATGCAGTCTGGGTACTTTGATGGCTTTACCTTCCCAGTGAGTCAAAGCTACTTGGTCCATTTTTTTTTTTGTGTGTGTGAGTCTCTTGACTCCAGAGTATTGCATCTGTATTCCTTCTGGTTTAGATCTAATTCAGGCCACTGTTTGTGTTTTTTTCTTTAGGAGTGCAACAGTGTAGTCAGATTCATGCTGTGATTTGCCAACCTCAGAGAGCAAGGACTCTTCTATTCTTGCAGTCTTCAGAAACTTGCAAAATATATTTAGGTTTTTTTATCCCTGTCCCCTTCCACCTGTAAGCACCTGCTTTCTAATTGGAACTTCTGACAGCTGCATCATTTTTTAGAGATTTAAGTGCCCAAGTTGAGTATTGCACCAGCCTGCTAGTGCTAATGAAGAATCCAGGTGTTTGAAATGCTGTATAGAATCCTTTCAGAAATATGGAGTATAGTCCCAAATGGAAGTACTTCAAGCTTATAAATATCTCTGGCTGCAGCGTTCTTAATATGGAAGATTTCACAATGTCACTCTTCTTGCTTGTCTCTTCTAGGTGTTTGTCTTTCTGTTCTCTGGGTTTCTTTACCGTGTAAGATCCTGTTCTGCCATAAAAGCTGGTCAGGGAATAGGTAGCAGCTGTAGCGAGACTGATCTCACATCAAAGCCAATGAAATTTCACAGTTGGTGGGTTCAGTGTTTCAATTTATTTTGTAACTGCTTTAGACTTTGAGAAAGGGACACATTTCCTTTATTTCCCCTTGTTCTTTAGAAAGACACAAAAAGGAAGAGGGTTCGGGATGTTTTTCACTTCTTTTTCTCATTTTAAGTGACGGGGCAACAAAAATTAGAGAGGAAAAAAAACCAAAAACCAACCAAACAAAAGCTTTACGATATAATTGTGTAATTGTTTGATCCCAGCTAGTAACATGAGAAAGAGTTAGGGCATCTATCAATTATTTTAGGTTTTCCTCGCATATACTAGTTCGCTTATTAAACAGAGGAAAAATTATTCTTTCTTAAAATATAATCACCTCTGAAGCTTCCAGTTTTTCATCAGTCTACTTCAAACATCTTCAAGCTTTAAAAGAAGGACCAAAATCAGAAATGTGTAATCTTATCTTCAATAAGCATAGAATTTGCAAGATTGACCTGGGGATTTTTAACTTTAAACCATGTGGCTAATATGCTTAGTTAAATCAGTGTTTTAAGCTGTGCCTATATATGCAGCATGCCTAAGTTGATAGATTTGTTTCATTTTTATGAAGTTCTGAATTCATTTTCAGGTTCTTGAAGGGAGAAACCTAGGAATGGTGTGATAGAATTGAAATAGCTTTTATATTACACTAGTTATTGTGTGTAGGGTGACTTAGTTTGTAGAGGCTTTTTATGTCCTCCTAATTTCCTTCATTAGGAACGAGTTAAATGAGTTAACTAAAATACTGCTTGTACCTTCATGATCATCTCAAACCTATCTTGTCACATTCAGTGTAATTGAACCAAAAAACTTCACCAATCACAGTACATTCTAGCCAAAATTTAATTTCACTTTATATTGCTTGGTCCAGTGTTTTCATTTTAAAGATCTGTCTTTGTTCTTCCTTCAGTGCTTCAGTACACAAAATCAGTAGGCCAGGATGTGCCAACACTATCAACGTATTGCTGTGGTCTCACCTACAAAGAAAGCTTTTGCCAGTCTGGACAAAGATCTTGCTACAAGCATGATGCTATTCTTGAAATGAAACTTGAGAATGTCAGCTGTCAAACTCCTTCAATGTTCTTACTTTTAGTGGTGGTGATGGGTTTTAGTTATATTTTAATAAATATATACATATACACACACACACACACACACACACACAAACACAAAAAAAGTGGCAGTGCTAGCACAGCCCAGGAGAGGGAGTTTGAGCCCACAAATAAGAAAGATGAAGACAGTCTTAAATTTGTTCCCTACTTAAATCTCCACTAAGATCTACTTCATGGGTGGTGTTCAGAGCAGTTTGTGTCCTCCCCTATCCTACAAAAAACAAACAGAAAATGGGATATTCTTAAAATATAGTCTATATATTCTAAAGCCTATAGAACTTCATCTTTACATTTTCTACTTATGGCAAAGGCAGGATGAGTGATATCAAGCCAAATATCAGACAGCATAGTAAAGAGATTTTCATTGGCCTAATGCATATCACAAAACAGTTCTATCAGTTAACCCAGTCTGTCATATGGTGTTTAACATAACTGCATGATTTACTGTTTCCAAAAACTGAAGCCAAAGAACATGTATTTTGTTCAGTGTGTCTTGGAATAGACATGATTTATACCAGAAATGTGTATCTATGTGATACCAAAATGTTTACTTCATTTAATACTTTATTACTAAGTACCATCTCAGTGTCTTGTTTTATCTTTTGTTTTTTATCAGAATCTTGCTGCTGAAAAAACATATAATAACCTAGATATCACGGTGACGCAAGCCCTACAGCACCGTTCTCAGTATTTTGAAGGTGTTGTAAAGTGTAGCATGCTGGAAACACTGGAGACCATTGTGGATAGAATAGTGAAGGCCGAGGTGAGTACATTTACTATTTTTTCTTTGCTATAAGTTAAAAGTTGTGTTGCCAAACTAACAAATAGTAGAAATTTATCTTTTCTAAATTACTTTGGTTACTGGGTGAAAGCATTTCTTTCATAACTACATGTGTTGGTTATCAGTTTGCTATATAGACTTAGATTATAGATGCTTAGAGGGATGTGCAAAATACTGTACAGTACATCTGTAAGTTATTTGCATTTTCTGTTTTATGATATTAACTGAATGCAAAGTTTCTTAGAAGAAATGAAGTTTCTTCCAAACTTGACAATAAATTTTGCAGACAAATAAGTCTTTAAACTCCAGGTTATGACTAGGTTGACTGGCATATTGTTCAAGAAATTGAATGGGTACAGTTAGTTAATGCAGAGTCCTGCACTGCTCTTGTACAAATACAGGCCCAAAAAATTAAGTTCTTGTGAAGAAGCCTTCAATAACTGCTCTTGTAAAGTATCTGTCTGTGTGCTTTCCGTTATTTTGGTGCTCTTACCTTGTTGGTTAGTACTGGGAACTTTATTATACACGGAGGTGAATGAGTATGTAGGTCTTCCTCCCCTGTAATGCCTCTCTGCAGAAGAAAATCATTATTACCAGTTTCAGTTGTCTCTGAGGTGTGAACAACTCCATTCAGATGCTTTAACCTCTTCAATTACAGTATTTGTTTTTTTTAATCTTCAGGGCTGTAACTGTACATATATTTGATATGAGTGAAACTTGCACTTTAATAACCCCTTAGAACCTCTGTGAGGCAATTTTTACTTGTAACTTTCCGCATCTGCTTGATTTGCTTCCTGAAATTGAATAAATTGCTGACCCACAAAATTCACATTTGGATTATTTTATTACTATCTTAAGAAGCTTTAGACATACGAGTTTTAAGACCAGCTCCTACCCTTTGGTTCAGTCTAAACATATGTAAAAATGAGTCAGTCAAAACTACAAGCTATTTTTAGCTGCCAGATGAGTGCTTGATCTTACTGGAAATGAAACAATTACCTCGTCCATTTTTCTTGAATTCATTACACTGAGAGAAGAACAAAACAATTAATTATGTGTATATACAAAAACTAACAACCCCATCTAAAATATCGCCAACAAAGTTTCATCAAAAAGAAAACGCCACAATGTTTTTCTTCAGCTCTCCTTTTCTTTCCTCCCTTTGTCAGGTGGGTATAACTGCTCAAAAAAATGTAGAGCTTCTCTTTTCTTGTACCTGACTAGCAGTGAAGTGGTTGACCTCAACCATAAAGTAAATTAAGACTGATGCAGCTTTCTTGTTATCACCTCTCTGAGAACAGGAGAAAAATTATTTTTGCTTTCTTCACCATTATATCTGATTATTTGAATTTAAAATAGTGACGAGAGAAAATTCACTTGGGTAAAAAGTAAACACGTAGTAGGTTCACAACTTTGACAGCACCCTTTTTAAGATCACTTACTTATGAGCTGGTTCAGCTGTAGTGTTAGTTATACAACTTGGTGCCCACTTGCAGTAGGCTCTGGAGCCAGGACTGATGGGGCACTCTCCTCGTTCTGCAGTGCTCTTTCCTCACTGTAACCTGCTCTGGCCAGTGAGCCCCAGGATACAGGAGTATCCACCTCCTTTCCCTACAGTGAGGACAAGTTTTATACTATATACAAGTTTAGACTATAAAATGTTTCCTAGAATAGATTTGCAAGGATAAGATCATTATTTAAAAATACAGTTTTACTATTGATAAATCTTTCTTCCAAGCTGTGGCCATGTGTTTATTAACTCTACAGTGGATTTGCACAGATAAGTTGAATCTTTATTTTTCTGTTTTCTGCCTTCTTGCAAAATGAGTATTTTAAAATCAGTCTGGCACTGATTTCAATTGTGTAGCCCTACAAGAAAAATTAGGTTAAAACCATCTTGGACATGTCAAGATACAAGTCTTAGTGCTGTGCTTCTCTCTGAGAAAGTATTTTTCAGATGGAAGCCTCATTTTATTACTGTATCTTAATTTTTTGAGATCTTGGGCTGAGTTGAGCAGAGCCTGTAAGTTGGGGGAAAGTGTTTGATGTGAGTGCTACTTTTTGAGAGCAGAAGTATTTTAAAGTCCTAGATCTTGGCTTAACTGTCACTTCAAATCTGATTTTGTTGCCATGTTGGATATCTGTGGGCTTTTAAAATATGTACTAGTTTTAATTTGTGTAGGGCAAGCATGTTTGTATTGCTGTGTGAGATTGGTATTGCTAATATTTTGAACCCTTTTCTTTTTCTACTTGTCTTCATACTGCATTACTGTTTTTTTTCTTTACTTTAGCTTTTACTTTAAATCAGGCAAATGGCTCATAATACTTTCCCTGCTTGCAGGTTCATCGCTTGGTGGTAGTGAATGAAGCAGATAGCATTGTGGGTATCATCTCCCTTTCTGACATTCTACAAGCTTTGGTACTCACACCAGCAGGTATGGATGTTGCCTTCTGACCTTTGCTATAAGTCATTTGGTAGTGTGTACACCCTGCTGGTTGTAATTTATTTGACAATGCCAAACTTCTGATTTTCAACTTCTGTAGCAGTTTGATCATGGTTCTTGTACATAGATACAGTATTAATTTGTCTTCAGGAAAAAGCTGACAAAATATTGTCAAGTCTTTTGTTCACTAAGGAATTCATGCAGAAGCTTCATGAACGTCATTGCTGTTCATGTATCTTCTTTTTAGAAAAGAAGTCTTGATTGATTAATGTTTTAATAGGAAAAACAGGATGAAGTTGAATGTTGCATGCATAGACAAGCATCTACAACAGGGCACCTTCCCCACCTTCCCGAATTTCTGTATGCTGGCCAGGTGCTCCTAGTGTGGACGCACCTGTGCTTTCCGCTAGCTCTGCAAAACCACCTCCTCAGAGTCCTGCACTTGTCCAGCTACGCTGTGGGTTTTGGTTGGCACAGATATGCCAGAGATGGCACCCCAGACCACCAGAATTATTCCAGCAGAAATCTCTAGTGTGTTGCTAAACATGATCAGGTTCCTTTTTAACAGGAGTATCCAACAACAGGTTTATTTCTGCTATTTTTATGTTAGTTGAGGAGGCTTGCTTTGGGTTTGTTTTGTTGGTTTTTTCCTTAAAGTTTTGACCAAGTTACTAACTCTTAATTGTAACTTCACTTGGACTGCATAAATTACTTCAGTGTCACAAGAACTAAAGCAAATCCCTTTTTTGGCTTTGCAAGGAAGACAAAAAAATGTCTTGAAGATTACAATTTTACCTAAAAAAAACCCCAAACAAACCAAAAAACCAAGACTAAGCAAACAGAGCTGGATATGTCCTGCAAAAAAGAAAGTCTACATGTGAGCTTAATTGGAATCTCTTTACTTGTACTGATAGATAACATGATAACGTGAAAGTCTTTCTCCTCTGTAGACTTAAAGTTAATGTAGCTTTTTAAAATAGTAAGATTTTTCCTCTGAAAAGAAGTAATCAGTGATATTGCTGGAGGTATTATGTCAATGTATTTGGTTCCTTTTAGTGACCTGGAAGAGCAAAGTAACCCAGCTTTCTGTGAAAGGTATGGGTGAGTAGGGAAACCAGCCCAAAGGCCCGGGTTGTTGCCTAGAAAGAGAATGGAGGGATGTATCTCTGTCCTAAGAGGGAGGTGTAAAGACAGGCAGATGGTGCCTTTCCAGGCAGAGAAGGTAGTTTCCCTCATGACTGGAGGGTAGAAGGATCCAAGGAGAGTAGAACTTAACCATTAATGGAGCAAAGTTTACACAGGAATGATGAATCTGGATACTGACAAACCAAGAGTTTTGTTATACTGGAATTACACAGACATGTAAGTTGCAACTCTGAGCTATAACAGTGCTCTCTAATTACAAAGGGCAGTTCCTGCTCCCATACACTGGGCCATATGCTTCTGGCATTTAGTGTGTAGCAGCACCCACACTCATGAGATCCCTCTGTGTGCTGCTTTAACTCATGGATCTAACAGGAAACTGAGCCAGCAAAAAAGCTGCAGAGTTTTATCGGTTTGGCACACTAGACTGGCTCACAGAAGAGTCTAGTACTGAGTACAGGGGTTAGAGCAACAGAGGGGGCAGGATTATGCCACTGGAAGAGATGAGGTGAGGGAAGGCATTTTTTAGGAGCAGTTAACCATTAGAGTGCAGTTCCACAGGCAACTGCCCGATTTTAGGTTGGGCTTTGTCTCATGAAGTGAGGATGTCTGCAATGTAGATCTAGTTTGTAGAGTCTGGAGTGTGATTTACTACTTAAAGCGGATGCATTAGAACAACCAGATAAATCATGCCCCGAAACTCTCCATTTCTCTTCATGGCCTAGAATAGAAAATTTATTGACTGGCAGGAATTAAAATCAGCCTGTGTTGTGGGGGGGGGTGAAGTATCAGTTCTGATGTGAAAACTGGATGTATTTAATGAATCTCAGTGTTTGATTATATATTACAAGTAGTGACTCCAGGTTGTTGGCAAGAGATTCTTGCTCTCTAGTGTTGGATGCTGAAGCCAAACTCACCATAGGGTTCAGTTGTTGCCCAGCATGTGGCTAGTTTGAGTACTTGGAGAAGAGGCAAGATGCTATACAGTCCTGCCGAGCAGGTCTCTCCTATCCCTCCTGTAAGCAAAATCTGCCTCTGAGCCAGGAAAAATGGGTCCATCAACATAGTGTAGTTCAAACTATGTAAGAATTCAGTTTTTCTCAAACAGGACTTCATTTTTTGAGGCTGTTATGATGATTAAGCTTGGCTTCTGCACTGATGGACAGGTTTGGGGTGTGGCTTCTTAGTTGGGATTTTTTAAAATAAATTTTTGTGCTGGGGAGAATTTTCAAAGCCACTTCTAGCAACTTCCCAGAAGTCTACCTTGCCAATGAGGTGAGAAGCAATAATGGTCTTGAGGCTTTCCTCATACTGTTTTTGTTTTATGTTAGCATTTAGCAATCTTGTAGTATATTTTTATAAATGGTATCCAATGCTAAGGTTCTGATAACATGATCAGACAGAGTTCCAGCATTCAGAATGAGCAGTGCTTTTCCAGCAGCCAAGTGCTATGTGCCTAAGGAAATCATGGATGCTTTCCTCTTCTGTTAACAGGTGCCAAACAAAAGGAGAACGAAAGTGAATGACTGCTGTGAATGTATACACGTTTGTAGGAGAACTTGAACAAAGTTTCTGGGTCAAGTTTGTCTCAAGAACAGTGACTGCAATAGAACAGAGCAGGATGGTTGAGAATGTGTATTGGGACTTAGTGATGGATGATGAGTCTATTCCCCCCAGTGATGTCGCAAAAAAAGCAGCATGACAAAAGCTTATGTTAAAATGTAGGCTTGTATTTCAAAATGTCTTCAAAACATTTGCTGGAAGACTTCACATGATGTCCTTCATTAAAATGCACTGTATTCTGAAACTTTTTCGTTTTGTATTTGACAGAAGTCACTGGTCAGCAATGGATATATGTGACATAAGGCAAGTGTATGGCATATTCATATCATAGTGCCTTATGTCAAAATACAGCAATATGTCATCACTGTTGCCCATCACTGTCAAAGGAAGTATTGTGCTAAACGAGACACTGTATTTGAATGTGAAAGTCTTTAAATCTAAAACCAAATCAGTTTCAGTTCTCATTAGATTTGTCATAAAAGCTGTAATTTGAATATCAGTAGACTTCTTTAAAACTTCAATGACAGTTTTGTGTTAAATGTTGCATTCTGATGTAAAACAAGACTGATTTTAAAAACAGCTTTATTTATTTTTACTTTCATGACAATTTTTTACACATCTTTGGTGGATAGCTAAAATTTCACCATATCCATTAATAAACTGTTGATTGTTATACAAGCAAGTGGTAGATTTTCTCATTATTTACAAGTTTGGAGGTGCAGAACCTGTGGCCTGTTGATCAGTCCATATGACTTGAGCTTAAGATTTGAGAAGCATGGATCAAAAGTGGTCTGTACTGTAAGACACAGGCACCATGGAGGAAACAAGGTGCCAGAGAACAATATTTTCATCTGTATTAAAATGTAAAATGATGTTTGTACAACAAAACCGAAACTTTTTATTGTATATGATTTGTACAGAAGTGGAGGAGTGAGGAAAGCTGTGGGGTATTTGCTAATGTAAATGTACTGTAAAGTTTGAAGATGAGACTTTTATAATTGTAGATTCTTGTAGATGGAAGAAATTAAACCCTACAACATCAGTTTGTTTTTAGCAGTTCTTGCCAAGTTCTTTTGCATGTATAAATGTACGTGCATTTTGATTAAACTAGGGATGGAAGATTCTTACTTCCTTCAACTTTAAAGGTGGCTTGTGCTAATGGAATAATGCAGGCAGTACTTCTTTGTACTATGTTTCCAGCCTGAATACTGTACTGGAATAATGCAGTAAATTGATCCATTATTTTTCTATTTATAAACATCGAGGTAAAAGGCTAACTGGTTTTGGTTTGCTTATAAAAAGTGAGGGTTTTAATAGTAATTGAAAAGCCCTTTCTTCAGAACTTTTCTACTTTCTATAAAATTTAAATTTTGAACTAAACATGAAAATTTTCTTCCTACTGGCATCTTTCATGTAAAAAATATTCCTGTAGTACATAATGGAAACTGTTCTCTTGGACTTCTATCTCATTTTCTTGCTCTGTCAAAAAAATCACAGAGTGGTTTGGGTTGAGAGGCAGGGACAAAACATCATGGCCAAGTCTTCTCCAGCACCTTTTCTGACTAGGTAAATACTGATTCTGTTCCCTGCAGTTCTGGATGGTTTTGAATAGCTGGTTTTGCCTAACAGCCACCTCAGAGATGACATCAGCACCGCTCTGATTATCTTTGTTGGGGAGATGGAGTGATAGAAACTAAACTGAGTAGAGTGGCTATCATTCTTGTGGAAGGTGTGGAGGGGATAATTTGTGGGAGATGAGAACTCTGTATTTAAGGGTAAGTGGTCAGCAGGACCACCTGCAACTGCCACCCAAGCTGCATGGACGGTATGGCTCCAGCTCCCGCACAGCAGCTGCCCTAGGAGAGGGGCAGCCAGGCAATCCCCCAAATGCATTGCCAGATCTCTCTACCTGGCACTAGGCTGCATGAGCATTATCCTTCAGCCCTGTATTCAAGGTGTTTTTGTGAAGATAAGGGTTGAACCACTGATAGGTACTGTGTATCTACTTTACTTCTTAGCACAAAGTCTTTTGGCCCTGTTCCACACAGACAGTTTTGGGCCTGTCTGCATAAATTAGTATGTAGAAAGCCAGAATGAATTTGCAGTTTTCAAACAACCATGTACAGACTTTCTATTTTAACATTATTACAAGTGCTGTTGATGTGTTGTGGACACAGGGCTAGCAAGATTCAGGAAAGCAGCCTCCTCAGTGATACAAAACTGCATTTAGAGAATTTCCACTCTTACTTTGTGGAATTCAGTTCTAAACTGAATTTGTGAGAAGTAGAATAGCAGTCTTAACTCCCTAAGTATGAACAAACAGCAGTGCTATCAAAAAGTCACTGCTTGTGCTGGTACAAGTAGCAGTGCTGATGCAGTAAACAAAACTAAAGAAATCATGTCATTTTTAATACAGCTCAGTTTACTACAGCACTAGAAAAAGTGCTTGTTCCAGCATAAGTGGGAGACTGGAATAAGTAAATGAGGGTAGAGAAAGGAGGGGTGACTCAGCAGCACTGCTGCATGCACCAGATTAAAGTGACAGTGCAACTAAAGCTTTGATCTAGGACTTTTCACGTGACTTGTGAGAGGCCTCAGCTATGGAAAAGAATGAATAAAATGTCATTAAACTCAAGTTCTTGTCCATTTTATTTCCTCTGGACAGGCAGCGTGCAGTACCTGGAGATCTGAGACCACAGCACTGGTGGTCAACAAAGGTGGTCCCTTTCTTTCCACAGACAGGACCATGCCATGCTGCAAGCAGAGATGGCAGTAAGCTGTCCCAGTGACTGCTGAAAGCCTGCTCACTAGCACAGCTGACTTTCCATCCTGTGGATTCTGTATTAACCGGCAGGACTGTAAAACGTGATTGATTCCTGTGCATTTCCTTGCCCAGCAAGAGATGTCTGTGGAAGATAATTATTCCGAAGGCCTTCTTGTTCTTGGAAAGGAGTAGATTAGGTTTGGTTTTTACTTCGAATATTTTTAGCTGTTTAGAAGTAAGAAAATGCTTCTTAGTAGACCAGTCAATATTTTTTGGTATCTAGAAATGCTCTGAATTAACGGGAAAAATCGCCCTTTGCTGGCATTGATCACTTGACTGATGAAAACATTTTTCTGTTTTACTTATGAAAACCTTTTAGTTAAAAGGTCTGAGATCTTTAAGCCCCCACAGAGAGTATTTGCTGTTTACTAGGAAATGAACTGCAATTGTTGCCTATCCAAGGCATGCTTGTCATCTTTTACCAAGGAATACTACTCTGCTGGGAATGTTTGGGTAGCACAGAGAGAACCAGCCTCGCTTTCTGAGGCCTGAGCTCTTGTCCTCACAACAGACAAGAAGAATTGAGCTGAAGTGGTTCCAAGACGACGCATCGCTTTGAGACTGCTCCTTGCCATCTTTCGAGAGAGCGTAGGGTAAGTTGGAGTCTATCAGTTTTGGTCCAACTCAAAGTGAAACCACGTGTGCTTGATCCTGTCACGCAGCAGGCTGTTAAACTGTTCGTACTGAGCTCTCCAGTGAGTTTTAGAAGTAACCAGTTTACTTCAAAAGTTTCTATGAACTTTCACCCCTGATGCTCCCATACTGAGCACTTGTTAGGGATAATTTCTGAGGAAAATGTCAGTCCAGATAATTTAATGCTACCCTTGTACCCATGTAATGCATTTACACAAAAAGAAAGTTCTGCAGACACTGCTCTTTACTTTTATCTGCAGGTCTCAATTTAAATGTGGTTTTGAAAGTCACTTTCTCAGTACCCATTTCTTTTATGATTGCGGTCAGACCTGTTCCCGCTGAAGTGAAGGGGAACAGGAGGTGACCTGCACTCAAACATCAAGCTCATTCCTTTAAGAAAATAAGTACCTATAGGGTGAGTCCCTGCCAGCTGCATACCAGGACCCATGTGGCATTAGCCTGTGATGGCAGTCGCCCCTGTGAACTGAATTAGGTCCTTAATTTGCATCTACTAAGTTTGTCAGTGTTTCTATCTGAACATTGGAAAAGACGATCATTGTGAAAACCCAGGTGGGAGTAGGAAAAAGTGTTAAGACTGAACTGAATGTAACCTCTGTGGGCAGAAAAGTCTGTGCTGTGCATGTGGAAGCCTGCCCAATGCAAACATGGGACATACTTCAAAAAACTCCTCGGGAAGGTCCTGATTTGCTCAAGGACAGAGTAGGTAATTATACTGGTAATTGCTGTTGCAGGAATTGAATGCACAAGTCAGAGCTGTCCTGCATTTGGAATCGGAGCAGCAGCATGTTTGGGGGCCTGTATGTAGTGCATCATAAAAGGACTGTTGAGTTACGTCTACTACATGAAATTCCTCGTGGTTTTTCCTCCGTCACAGAAGAGCATATATTGGCACCACAAGACAGACATGTTCCATTTTTGCAGCTTCCCCCAGCATCTGTTCCTGACCTCACGGCATACTCATACTCTCATTGGTGCCTGCAGTTCTCCCAGTTGGTATTTTCTCTATCAGAATGTAGGCCACACCTCACGTGTTGCATTCACTGACCATGTCTGTTGTTAACTCATTTACAATTACATTAATGCAATTTATCATCTGAACTGATAGGAAGGCTGCATTTGATTTGAAGGGGTATCTGGTGAAGTGAGACATAAAGCAGGCCTGGAATACAGACAGGGCATAGGTGCGTGGTGTACGTCACTTGTCCCGAAGGTCTCTGAACCTTGTAGTTTACAGCACAACCTGCAAACGCTGTAGAAACAAAGAATCTGGAGTCAGAGGAGGGAAGGCACAGGTAAAGCCCTAATCCCTAATGCTACTGCTGCTGCAGGACGCTGCAGTGAAATCACAACCTGACCATCGCCCTTAGGTTGTGAGATGGGGAGTGAATTTCAGCAAAAAGCTGCTTAGCATGTGAAGCCACTGAAGGCATAAAGGGGTGGGGGTTCAAATTACGCACAGTGCCCAGCTTCAACACTGACAGCCAAGGGTGTGCTCTCCCTCTGCACCGGACTGCTCTGGGAAGTGGTTAAACTTCTCCCAGGCAGGAGAACAGCAATGACAGCCTTACTGCCTGCCTTCCAGATCCTCTCCTCTCTGCTTAAGCTTCGACCACTTGAGTAGCAGTATCTCAGAGCACTCCTAAAGGCCACTCAGCGCTATCACCAAGGCCTAGAGCACGGAGACATGACCAAGTTCCCTGAAAACTCTGTATTTGCCTGTATTTTGAGTGTCCCGGTCAAGGTAGAACAAAACACTTAAGTGATCCTGATGGAATAAAGATTATTCACCACTTCCTTCCAAAGAACCAGTGGAAGAATGAAAAGTCACGTTTTTTTCTGCAAGTTTAAAAAGCACCTGTTCCCAGGAAGGATGAGTTCTATGTTGCTTCTGCGACATAGGCTGAGCAGGCATCGAGGGTATCCTAAGCTGGGACAACTCCATTGCAATTAGAGGCAGTAAATAAACCAGCGGAAGGGCAGGGAGGAGCAGAAACCTGCAGCAGTGAGCTCTCCTAAATGAGTACAGAATGAACAAGTGCAAGTTAACAGAAACAAGATGAACAAACAAGGGGCCAAGAGGTGAGTGGAGTAAGAAAAAGAGAGTAAAGGCAAAGACCTAATCAAGAGAAGGGGGCTGTCAAGGAAGGAGCAAAACTAGAAACTCTCACAAATGAAGTAACACTGATTCTTGCCTCTCTGAGCACGTGGAAGGGTATGAAGAGAGTTTCTGAAAATGCAAACTAGGTTTCAGCAGGGCAAAAATTGCAGTGCCTAAATACAACAGGCAAGTAATAAGAACTGTAAGGACAGGGAAGCTGAAAGTGTAACTACCACAAACTTCACCTGTTTCCCAAACCATTTATGTCACTGGAAGGTAATTCTTAACTTCAGCTCTTTCGGTCCTCTGGCTCAGTAAATAGCCCAAATTTTGGACCATGGCACAGCTCCACAGCGAGCAAGTGCCAAGATGACAGCACAGCTGCAGAGCTACACCAGGGGCCATCCTGCAGGATTATGGCCCCTGCAATCCTCCTGTCTTTTAAAAAAACACACAAGACAAAAAG